CTTAGCGCCGGGAGCCGCGCGGCCTAGGACCCTGGGTCCGGGCTCGGAGCTTCGGCGGGGGTTCGGCGCTCAGCGCCCCTCGTCCAGATCCCCGGGGACGCTCCCCATGGCGTGTGGCGGCGGCGGGAGGCCGAGCTCCTGAGCACCGGGGTCGTGAGGCAGAGACAGCAGTGGCAGCGCCCGGAGCGGATAACAACTGACGCACTTCCGCCGGACCCGAGTGCCAGAGGAAACGGGTGCAGCCTGGGCAGCCCGACCGGCCGACTCCGCCCTCCAGGCCCCGCCCAGGCCCCGCCCTCCAGGAATCTGCAGCCTGGTGCGGAACTTCGCTGCGCTCCGCCCCTTCCCACGAGGCCCCGCCCTCGCTCTCCGCCGCACTTAGCCCTATCAGTCCCCGCCCCTGCCATAGGCCACGCCCCGTCCTTGCGCCTCTCGCCTGAGCCCCGCCCCCCATCAGGTCACGCCCCCTTCCTCCCGCTATTACCAACCAGGTCCCATCATTGATGAAGTCCCGCCCACCCTTTTTCACACCTGTTGAGCCTTGTCGGGCCCCACCAGTCCATGCCCGACCCGCCCCAGATCAGGCCCGGCTCCCTGACCGCGCCTACTTTGCAACAAGCTCCCACTTGCCACAAGCTCCCACTTGCCACCACCCGCCTCGGGCCACCCGCCGCGAGTTCAGGGTGGTCAGTGCCGCCTCTTCCGCTCTCAACGTAGGAGGTGCTGGGTCCTTGCACCCACAGCGGCCTCCGGCGAATGGAATGGGCACATGTGACCGAGGGGGGCGGACTGTCTTGGGCCCACCGGGGTTCTAGGAGCTGGGGATGGCGATCTTGCTGATTGCCCTCCACCCGCAAGCCCTCAGAACCGGGGGTCCCCATCTGGCTCCCCAAGCTAAATAAAGTAGCTCCCACTGAACCAGAGCTCTGTGTCCCCAAGACTTGTGATGACTGGCCTCTCCCTGCGCGTCTTGAAGCTTGGGAGAGGTAGCACGCAGTAGACAGAGGAAGGGGCAGCTAGGAAGTTTAACGTAGACAAAATGGTGGGTTTTCTCTTTCCCTAGCAAGAAACAGCTTGCCTGGTAGAATGTCCTGGTGCACAGGGAGCAGGCTATCTTTGCCAGCCCAAGGCAGGTAGGGCCCGTCTCCAGGTCACCAATTTGTAAGGGAGTTTCCCAAAAGCCTGTTTTGATACGCCGTGGGTGACCCTTTCAGAAGTGGAAGCAGGTGGCCAATTACACGCGATGTGTCACAGCTTGGGCATTGAGTGAGAAGTGACAGAGCCACATTTGGAGCTGAAGACCCTGGCAGGCAGAGGACACGGGGAGAAAGCCCGTGGACAGAACCTCAAGTGCACATACCTGGTCCTTGAGAAGGCCACAGGCTCTCTGTATTGCTGTCCTTAGGGGCAGCTGGGAAAGTGATCTACTATCCACAAGCACCCTTGTCACCCCCCAATGTACCCACTAGCATCCATCAGCCTGCCCAGGGTCAAGATGGGTCTTCCTCCCCCTCTCCCATTCCTGGTTTTATGAAAACACCCTCAAGCATCCACTGCTTGGCTAAGAGCCTGTTACAGAAAGGAACGAACGAAAGCAGCTTCTTCCAGCCTCCCTCACTCTGCTCTGGACACCTGCTCCTCAGGCCACCCCACCCCCACCTGGAGGGAAGCTTTCTGTGGACCCTCCCCTACCGCTCCTTCCCCACCCCCAGAACAATTGCTTGGCAATTACTGAGGCTCACCTTTTGAAGTTTTCAATAGAAATAAATCGTATCTTTGCTCGTCCAGGCTCCAGTAATCTCAAATATGCAGCCCCAGTGACGGACAGGGACTCCAGAGACTCACTAGGGGCCTTTCTCCCTGCATTTCTTCCCAGTTTCTTAAGCTTTTCCTGGGTAAGAAACCCTCAGGTTCCTTCTCTCCTTTGATTCATTTCCACTTGGCTGGGTGAGCAACAAAGGGACCAGCCAAGTCTCTCTGGGGAATGGGGCCAGAGCTCAGCTGTTCCCCAGGGAGGTCATGCTGTGGGGCAGCAACATCAGGATTAATGTCAGTCCTTGGAACACAGCTGGGATCGAGACAGGGCTGAGATGGACTAGAACAGTGACCATTTGCCTGGGCTGTGGACTGTGTCCATTTCCCTCCATTTAGAGGACCATTTTGATGGCACAAGACCCTACCCAGGTATGCAAGTGCCTGATGAAGCTTGTGCCACAGTTCATACTGGTTTCTTTGTGGGGTTTTTTTTTGGTCTTTTTGATACAGGGTCTCCCTGTAGCCCCAGCTGTCCTGGATTCACCATGGAAACCAGACTGGCCTCGAACTCACAAAGATCCGTCTGCCTCTGCCTCCTGAGTGCTGGGATTAAAGGCGTGTGCCACCATGCCCCACCTGTGGTTTTATTTTTATGTTGTGTTTGGGTTGATTTGTTTAGTTGAGACAAGGCCTCAGTATGTAGTCCTAGCTGACCTGGAACTCTGCATATAGACCAGGAGTGGCCTTGAACTCACAGAGACCCACCTACCTCTGCCTCTCAAGTGGGATTAAAGGCATGTGCCACCATGCCCAGCCATACTGGTTTCTTGGTGGAGCTGCTCTGATTTTGTTTGCTTTGCTTTTGATTTATTATTTTTATTTTATCTGTATGGGTGTTTTTGTTTGGTTTGGTTTGATTTGGTCTTTTTGAGACAGGGTCTTCCTTGCCTCCCAAGTGCTGGGATTAAAGGTGTGTGTCATCATGTATGGCCTGTTTAAGCGTTTTGTCTGCATGCATGTAAGTGTACCCCTGTCCTGCAATGCCCAAGGAGGCCAGAAAAAGAGCATCAGATCCTCTGTAACTGGAGTTATGGATGGTTGTTAGCCACCATGTGGGTGCTGAGAACTGAGCCTGGGTTCTCTACAAGAGCAGCCAGTGCTCTTAATTGCTGAGTCATCTCTCCAGCCCTTGTACTCTGGTTTGATCAGCTAGCGTACACAATCATTTTTCTCTCAGACCTCTGTAGAGTGGGGGCAGGGCAGTGGGGCTTCCCGCTAAGTGCTGTGCTGTGCTGTGCTGTGCTGTGCTGTGCTGTGTGTTCAGGCCTGGCATGTTCACCCTTAAGCACATCAGCATCACAGTGGGGAGGAAAGTTTGTCTGTTCATCCCTGGTTACCCACCCCTCCACTTCTACCCTCACCCCAAGTTCCAAATCCCTGGGCCTAGGGCTGAGACTGAGGCTTGCGAACTATGACCAGCTTGCTGGTCATACTTTGGGAATCACTTTTTTTTTCCTTCAGTACTGGGTGTACAGCATAGGGTTTGCATATGCTAGGCAAACTTTACCACAGAGCTACATCACAGCCTGGAGCTCTGTGTTTGAATGATGAGCACCAGCTAGTATTCATATGTTGAACCAGTCTTTCTCTCCAGCCCCCCTCAGGGCCTGCCCCCTCATGCTTCCCCCTCTCTTGCACATCCTTGATCACTGAGTCTTTCAGTAGTAGCCATCTTTTCTGCTGTGTGCATAGGCTTTAAGGGCTCCTCTCCAGTTCTGGACTCAGCTCAGCTCTCTAGCCTCTCTACCAGTCCACATCACCAGCTTACTACCCAACTTCCTATCTGTCCATAGAAGAAGAGATCCATCCTTCTTCCACTTGCAGGTATACCACAGACAGGCACCTCACCAGCACAGCAGTCTCTCCAAATCACAACTGCCTCCCAAGCGCCAGCATGTAGCCCATGCCTTTACTGGTTTCTCCTGTTATTGGGAAACATGGTCACTTTTGCTTATTCTTATTCTTGTAGATAAAAGTATGTACAAACATTCAGACAGAAATGAGGACATTTTATAAAAGTTTGAGAGGGGAAAAATAACACAGGACAGGCAGCAGTTGTAGTAAGGTGGGAGCTGAATAAGAAGAAAAAGTCATGCTTTCAATTGAGTTAGCCAGCAAGAAGGCAGGCTTAGGGATGGAGGTATGCAAGCGCAGGAACATGGGGTAGGGGTGGGGGTCTTCAGAAAAAGAGTGCACAGAGTATCAGGGCAGCAGGCTTAGGATTTTGACAAGCATCCAAAAAAAGATGAAAAGAACAACAACAAAAAAAAATTAGGATTTTTGAGTTTAGAGCACAAAAAAAGCAGACACAGGCAAATAGATCTTTGGGAGTTTGAGACCAGCCTGATCTACAAAGTGAATTCCAGGCCAGCCAGGTCTACAAAGTGAGACCTTGTGTCAAAAAATCAAACCAAACCAAACAAACACCAGTAACAACAAACAAACAAAAAGCACAGAAAAGTGGGGCTGGAGAGATGGCTCAGTGGTTAAGAACACCGACTGCTCTTGCAGAGAACCTGTGTTTGAAACCCAGCATCCACATGGCAGCTAACATCTGTCTATAACTCCAGTTCCAGGGGATTCGACCCCCTCTCCTGACGTCCACAGGCTTTGCACAACATGGGTGCACTTACATACATGCAGGCAATACACTCATACACATAAAATAAAAATAGTAAATTTAAAAGGCACAGAAAAGTGAGCAAGCTTAGCAGTGAAGATCTGTACACAACTCACTGTGGAAGGGGCTTCGTTTTATTTTGAACTTCTGATACTTCCATCTACACCTCCAGGGAGAGCTGGGATCAAGAGCATAACTCATGGATTAACTCATAATCTTTTGGGCAGTTTAGGATGCTACGTTTTTACCCCAAGTAAGAGCTACGACTCATATTCCATTCTTTTGAACAAAATTCCTGTAATAGAGATTAAAGAGACAAAAAATAAAAATAAAAAAGAAGTAAATCTATAAAATAGCCATGCTTTATCAGGAAATAGTCTTTCCCTATTGGTT